ATTTTATATTACCGTCACTACTATTCGTCTTTTTTAATTATCTATCTATCGCTGGCTTCTCTGCCAGGCTTATATAATAACAAATGGGGCGTCTCGAATGCACTCGGGCCTCCCCGATCATTCATGATCATTCGAGAAATTTCACGCACACCACCAGCGCCAGCAGCGTCACGTGACTTCCGCAGTCGTAACGGTGTACTTGTACAATTATAGCTTGACTCACTATAATGTAATATTAGTGTACTAGTAAGGTTACAGGATCACTCTCTATAATTTAATATTAGTGTACTTGTATAGTAACAGCTTCCATCATTGTAATTTAATCACTTTGTTAACTCTACAGGGTTTCCACACTGAGTGTTTACCCTATAGGGTTTCCACACTGAGTGTTCACTCTATAGGGTTTCCACACCAAGTGTTCCCCTCTATAGGGTTTCCACACCAAGTGTTCACTCTATGGAGTTTTTGCAGTGAGTGTTCACTCTGGAGAGTTTCCATGCTGAGTGTTAACTCTATATGGTTTCCACATTGAGTGTTTACTCTGTAGTGTTTTCACAATGAGTGTCCACTCTATAGAATTTCCACTCTCAGTGCTCACTATATAAGGTTTCTACACTGAGTATTCACTTTATGGGGTTTTCAAACTGAGTGTTTACTATATAGGTTTTCCACTCTCAGTGATTACTCTATAGGGTTTTCACATTGAGTGTTCACTCTATAGGGCTTCCACTCTCAGTGTTTATTTTAGGATTTCCACACTGAGTGTTTAATCTAGGGCTTCCTCTCTAGGTGTTTACTCAAGGGTTTCCACGCTATAGGGTTTTGACACAGTTACTACAATAATTTTTCCAGCTATAATCTCTTCTTATTGTTTAGAACAGCATTAGGAAACATTTATTCTGCTTGTGTTTCTGATCATTATACCGACTCTTGTTAAACTCAGGGTGTGTCCAATTTTTCTACTTTGTTCAGTCAGTTGACTAATTTTTTTACATTATTCTAATCAAAATTATAATTGAATGTATTACTGATGTGTGTGTTTTTTTCAGTGTAATGAAACGTTCAGTGCCACTGATTACAAAAACATTGAAGCATTTGAGGTAGGCTTAACATTCCTAGTATGATGATAATATTAATGAACATACAGTTTAAAGTGTTTTATATTTACAAAGACTTTGGTTTTAATCAAACTTAAACTTTAATGAGAACTAGAATTAAGCAATATCTTAATTTTCCAATGCATCATCTTGGCTTTCAAACAACATCTACAAGAAAATTCCATTTAGTGAATATAATATTCACATATGATCTTCAATGAACTTTCCTATAGTTTTTTCTTGCATTATATAATACCTTCCTTATAGAAACTCAATCATTTTTCTCATCCCGAACATGTTGTATACATTAGCATGATAGCTACAAAAGTAGTGTTAGATTCCTCTGTGTGGTTCTAAAACCGTACAACAAATTTGATTAAAAAAACATGTAACTTTGAAATAGGCAACATTATAAGATGCTCTTTTTTATTTTATTATGTCATTACAACACTTGAAAAAACAGCTAGTTTTTATATTGGCAGAGTTTTTAAACTAAGTTATGACATTACATTCATCAAGTTCATTTGTTATATTGGAGAAAGGTTTTTAAACTAAGTTATTGACATTACACTGTTCAAATTAGTTTGTTATATTCGAGAGGCTTTATAATTTGTAAGTTACTTCTAGTTTTGATGAATTTAGTTAGTTTAGGTTTTATAAGAAGTTTTTAATTATTTGTTATCTTCCAACAAAAACATAATTTTTTATATGGAAATGTATCATTTATATTAGTATAAGCATTTAACACTTTGGTCAGAAAATTCTAATGAAATACTTAACTCAGCTAACAATTCTACTGTCCTATTGTGCTTATTATGATTGTTTGATGTCTACAAGTTTTGGTATTTATAGCAATGTTGCTTTTCCCTTAGGGATGTGTCCTCAACATATTCCTCTCTCAGAACACGAACGCTTGTAACCAAATGTCTGGAGACCAAAGTCCACTACTCCTAAGATAGAATGCCTTTATTCTTTCAGCTCCTAACCATGAAGTTATAAATGAGACGCTTATCTCTAATATCTTTTCAAAGTAAACAGTAATTCATCTTGACAGAGTACCCACACATTCATCCCTCTTCCATTTGGAAGACAGTTTTGGTAACCAACTTTTCAGCAACAATTCTAAAGCTTATGGCTCATTCATTTGTTTATCCAACCAAAGAAACAATGCTTAACCTGCTTCAACTGATGACTTTTTATAAACATGTCACTGTCTCTAAGAAGCCCAAGTGATGTTGTTCTAAAATACTTCATGATGTTGGTGAACTGGAAATAAAACATTTTTCATTTATACAGACAGCTCCTGGAAAGTTGCTTTTTTACTTCTCAAATTAAACAGATAAGTCGAAAATATGAATACTATATGCAAATTAAATGTAATTATTAAATCATTTGAGTGATAAATTTCTAACACAAGGTACGAAGTAATTAAAAATATCTAAAACAAGATGGTGAGTCACAGCCATGCTTCCTTATTTTCCCATCGATGGTTTTGGTCAAAGCAGTTTCACTGATTTCCAAAATATTAAAACCGGTTTCGATTACGTGAGTTTTAATTAAATAAAAATCAAAGTTAGCATCTTGAACAGTTATAAACTATGGACATACGAGTGTAAAGTGCAGTTCAATAAATTACATTGTCTGTGGGATTACAACGCTCAAAACTGGGTTTCGATACCAGTGGTGGGCAGAACACAGATAACCCATTGTGTAGCATATAATGAGGTGGTAAAAGCAATGAGAATGAAAAGAAAGGTATTACTCACAGAAAAAACAAAACAAACTGGACTAGATATTTTTATTTCTTGCTTTGGAGTTCATTTGTCATGCTGTGTTGTAGCCTACAAAGTGCATAATTCTTCTCATTATTCATGGCATGCGCACGTTTTACTGACGTCACGATATTACAAATTACAACGTTACGCGTCCCTTATATAACATTATTTTAGTGTTTAGTGACTGATTAACAGACAGCACACTACTGTATAGTGGTGACCCCTGCAGGTGGCCTTTGGCCATCTTTCGAGGAAAGAAAGAGAGAGGACCCAAAGAGATAGCCAAAATCTGCAACAACAAAACCCGCATAAACAGTCTAAAGTACTAAAATGGATGAATAGGTGACAGAATGGATCCCAGATATCTGTGCCAATTTCTGTAAGAGATCATATAATTCAAGAAAGAAAGTTATATATATATATAATTAAAATTGGTA